GGGTTGGAGGGATTGAGCAAAAAAGAGAACTCATGGACACGGACAACAGTGTGGAGATTGTGGGGGTGGGGGGAGTGGGTGGAGGTAGAAGAGGGTATGGGGGGATAAATGGTGATGGAAAAAATTAAATTTTAAAAAATCACAACATTTAGTTTGTCATCTTCCAGAAAACCTTGTCAGTTCAATGGGGAAAAAACAGTGTGAATTGTTTTGTGATTTGATTAAATTGACAGATCTCATCAGTCAAAATATGGCTGTAGGAACCTGAAAACCTGAAGTAGATTTAAGAGATTTACCATGAAAACATGGTCCCCATTGTCAAGAATTTTTTCTCATAGTCTGTTTTATGTTTTTCTGATTCTACTTCTTGTTTCTCAAGTATGAGCTTATACATTCAGAATTTTTGTTTTAATTTTGACTAATGGATTTCTTAGTTCGCACCTATAATACAGTGGCTCCATAATCTCCTTTCATGTGAGTGTATTCATGCAGGTGATGGTACACTTGTTTGTACTGATGTCAGGTTTTATTTTAGGTTCTCATTATGACTTGCTATGTCGCCTTGATTGTTTTGAAAAATGGCTACTTGTCACTGTCAGACATTAACCTTTTGGTGTTTGATGAGTGTCATCTTGCAATCCTAGACCACCCCTACCGAGAAATTATGAAGGTAAGTTTTTATATATCAGTCTTAATAATCCAGGTCAAATTATTGAGTAAAAGCAGTGTTCTTACATACCAAAACAGTGATATTAGTTACCAATTTTGAGAACTTGGTTTCAGTGTATGAATGAATGAATGAGTATTGAATTAACATTCATTTACATCTATACTCTATAATAATAAGCTATACTAAAACTATAATCTAACTCTGTAAGAAAATTTTAAACATAACAAATCTGCCTTTTAATAAACAGCTTTTAAACAAGCTACCATAATTTTTTTTCCTTAATTCTGTAAGTAATATTTTAGTTTCTGTAAGTAATATTTGTCAGTCTTTTTGACATGTTTTAATATGGCAGTGTCTCTTTTGGTTTGGCCTTGCAAAATGAATTTCTTACTGTCAGTATCTTTTACCATGTTAGCTCTGTGAAAGTTGTCCATCATGCCCTCGTATCTTGGGACTAACTGCTTCCATTTTAAATGGGAAATGTGATCCAGAGGAATTAGAAGAAAAGATTCAGAAACTGGAGAAAATTCTTAAGAGTAATGCTGAAACTGCAACTGACTTGGTGGTCTTAGACAGGTATGCACTTCCTATGGATTTGGTATGGCCAGACTAGCTGGAACTGATTCTAAGCCTTCGGTATCTGCAGTGCCTTGCAGATAGTACCTGCTTAGGAGAAACCAGTGGCTGTTAAACGGAAAGAGCAAGACTAGCAGCTCTTTATCAGGACAGTTACATGCTAATGCAGGGATTTAACCTTGTTTCCAGAGAGAGTGGCAGATTGAGGTGTTTCTGCGTAACGATTGGCCCTTCATATTTGCTGCTACTGACAGGGATTGGGAACATGGGCAGTAAACTTGTGTCCTTTCTGTCTATGTGTGCGCTTTGTTTTTCTGACCTAAATGTCCCATCTGATGGTTTGAAAGAACATTATTCAGAAAATTCAGTATTTTACAATATGCTTTAAAGTAACTGGAAACACCCTGTAGTTTTGAAAATGAGGTGAATTTCTGAGAAAGATGTTTGTGATTTCTAGCTTTGTCTCTTTGATGGAGGTTGGTATTTTTAGTTTCATTAAAACACACACACTTTTTGATAAGTTCATGGATGGGAGCCTTTATAAATTAGGTTTTAAAATGTAACTAATTCAGTTCATAGTAAAATACCTTTATATTCTTCTCAGATATAGTCTTTAACAAGGCTAAAGATTACCAAGTGGTGGCTCTTATAACAGTTATAATAAATAGAAAACATTGATTTCTCAGGTTATGAATTTAAATCAGACATGGATTTTGAATATTGGCTCCACTAATTGTAAACTTTGTGACTTCAAGTGAGTCATTCACTGTTCCTGCACCTGTAAAATGACACTGACAGTGGTTTCAGGGGCTTCTTCAATGATTAATTACATCGACACCTAGAAAACACCTTGCAGTGTGCCTGTCATTTAGTAGACTTTTGGGAAAGTTCTCTTTGTAGAATGAGAAGAAAAGCTAAATTTTCAGGTTATGGGAACTTGGGTATCCAAATGCCACATGAAATACGGATCTCAACCTTTGGGACGTTATTTTTTACTTCCCTGAGCCAGAGCGATCTTTGATGTAGCAGTCAACTTGCCTTTATTCCACCTGGACTAGATTGGTAGCCTGTACTACTGAAGTCTTCAAGAAAAGTAGAGGTATTCGGGCATTTAAGTAAAATTGATAGGGCATCTGTTGGATTTGGCATTACCTAGTTCTCTCAGTGTGGCTCTTTGGTTAAGTACGGATTCTGGTTGACAATGATGAAACCTGTAGTCTTTAAATATGTCACTACTGTATTTCTTTTCCTTAATTATTGTATGTGCTTTGAGAATGTTACATGCTGTTCTAGTTGTCATTTTATGACAGATCCAAGGAACAATATTGTAATTGACAAAGTTGTGGGGAGCTTTCCCTGTGTCAGGAGGTGTTAAAAATGAAGTTGACATTTGCAGATGCTGTACGTTTCCAATAGTATGGAAATGGATCAATTTAATGACAGTACTTCCCCCCATCTCCTACTCCCCATTCCTGATTTCTGCTTCTGGAAAGTAATCATTATTGAGTTTCTTGAGTGTTTTGACCAACATTATTCCTAAGGGGGCAAAAGATAAAAGTCTGAACCTAAAAAACAAAATAAAAGACCTGGGATAATAATGAATTTACAGAATTCTTTGTCAGCTTTCTGTAGTCATTCCTTAGCCCTAACAGGCAGACACGCATTGTAGACACAAGCGAGGACCACTTCAGGAAGGCTCCTGAGCCTGCCTGTTACCCCGAGTGGGCGTATAAACTGAACACAGACGTTTCCTGCTTGGTTAGATATGTAGTGGATCATAATGCAGTAGTGAATTGATTGCAGTAGTGACAGCTGTTGTTTCTGATGTTAAAGATACACTACTCAGCCATATGAGATTGTGGTAGACTGCGGACCATTTATGGACAGAAGTGGGCTTTATGAACGACTGCTGATGGAGTTAGAAGAAGCACTTAATTTTGTCAATGACTGTAACATATCTGTACATTCAAAAGAACGAGATTCGACTTTAATTTCTAAACAGGTAAGCATACACAAAGTAAGTATAGGAAGTATAATAAAAGGCTTCTGTTTATTTTTAGTATTGAAATGAAAATATGCTTCTAGCGAGGCTGTTTTCTATGCATTTTAACTTAAGGCCCTACCTTCTTATGTCTTTGGACATTTTTCATTGAACATATAGTAGGTTGAGTTTACAACTACCTGACAGACATTTCTATTAAGTATAGGTCTCCCTGATTTAAGAGATGACTTAGGATTCATGTCATGGCTATTTGAATAAAAGGAGTGAGTCCAGTTTTTTTTTCTTGGTTGGATGAGTTAGTTCCTGCTCAGACCCTTTGGCTAAACAAATTCTTGTGCCGTTTCCTTGTGTAACTGGATATGACGAGTCATCCCTGAGTGGGATCCAGCTTTGAGAAGGATTCCTTAGGATAGTGGTTCTCAAAGTGTGGACCTCAGACCAATAGCATCGGCACCCCCTGGAACTTGTTAGACATGCAGATTATGGGCTCTCCTTTGACCTGCTGAGTGTAAAGCTGGGGGTGGGTCCAGCTGGCTGAGAGTGACAAGCCATCCAGTTACCCTGATGCATTAAAACTTGAGAACCATTGTTCCGGGACTTGGCAACCATTCGTGGGTGCCAACACTGTATTGCATCTGCCATCTGAATTTCTCTCTTGCTGATTGTTTCTGAGGCAGCAATGCCCAGACTCTCCTCAGCCCTTGAATTTTCAGTCTGTCTTTTACTCTCCTGCAGAAGATTCCTCAGTCACTCGCTGTGATCTCCACTCTGCTCTGAGCTAGGGTTGTAAGGTGTGGTTCTCTGGGCATGAAATGAAAGGGAAATTGTCTTGCTCTTTGATAGTGAAAATAAAATGACCCTGCTGTTGAATTGCTTGCATAGTTACCTGGAAATAAATGACTCAGTTGTCCGAACTAATCAGAGATCTAAAATTAAGTTTTATTATTCTTATACAATTGCATCTTTGAATTTCTATTATGTGATCATCCTTGCTGGGGAAAACGAAAGATTCTTGACATATGTATATGAAAAAGTAGAGCCTGAAAAGACCACTGGCCCCTGCCCCCATCCTTAGGGTAATAACCTCAGTGTTTATATTAATCTCTGGGATAAACTAATTTTGAAGGGGCAGATTGAAGACAACTTAAACCCCAGTTAAATCCTGTAGGAAAGTGCTACCTGATTATTGTGTAGCATTTGGCTCTTTACATTCTTTTGTAGATACTGTCAGACTGTCGTGCGGTATTGGTAGTTCTGGGACCCTGGTGTGCAGATAAAGTAGCTGGAATGATGGTAAGAGAACTGCAGAAATACATCAAACACGAACAAGAGGAGCTGCACAGGAAGTTTCTATTGTTTACAGACACTTTCCTACGGAAAATACATGCACTATGTGAAGAGCACTTCTCACCTGCCTCACTTGACCTGAAATTTGTAACTCCCAAAGTGATAAAACTGCTTGAGATCCTGCGCAAATACAAACCCTACGAGCGACAGCAGTTCGAAAGCGTCGAGTGGTACAATAACAGGAACCAGGACAACTATGTGTCTTGGAGCGACTCGGAGGAGGAGGAGGAAGATGAGGAGATCGAAGAGAAGGAGAAGCCGGAGGCGAACTTCCCGTCTCCGTTTACCAATATTTTGTGCGGCATAATTTTTGTGGAAAGAAGATACACAGCAGTTGTCTTAAACAGGTAACTGTAAGGTTAACATTCTCCCCGCAGTGGAGCAAGGCAGCTGTGGTGCTGCGAGGTGATGGAGGGCCCTCCTGTGGCTCCGTGGCAGTGCTGCTCGTGCGCGGGGCCCTGCGGCGGACAGGGAGGGTGTGCGCGCAGCTGCTCTCCCAGGAGGCCGGGTTTTTACGTGGCTGAGGCTTCTCAAACGGTGCTGACCTGTCCTAGCCCATCTAACATGGAGCAGGTATGGAAAAGGCAGGTTAAAGGGAAGCATTCCGTGTTTCATGTTCAGTTAGATTCACTCCAGCCATTGCTCCGTGGCCATGTGTTAGGTGTGTTAAACGCTTTGCAGCAAGCTTTCTGTAATCTTTGGGTAAATTTTTTTTTTTAATAGTTCTGTCAATCATATTTCTTTTTAAAAAAATATATTTTTATTGATTTCAGAGAGAGGAAGGGAGAGGGAGAGAGAAACGTCAATGGTGAGAGAGTCATTGATGGGCTGCCTCCTGCACGCCCCCTGCTGGGGATCGAGCCTGCAACCCAGGCATGTGCCCTGACCCGGAATCAACCTGGATCTCCAGGATCATAGGTCGATGCTCAACCAATGAGCCACGCCAGCTGGGCTCTTTGAGTAAGTTTTATCTCTGTGTATTATCGTGACTTATTTTTTTGTGTTAGCTTTTTTTTCCCCCTTAAGTGTTGATTCAGGTTTGTAGTGGAAAAAGTTTAGAACAACTGGATTCACAATTTGGATTGATTCATAGATTATATATTAAAATTTCCCGAATCAGGAGAGATTAAGTATTAGGGAAGCATTTGGAGAATATTGGCAAAGGTGACAGTGAATCCATGTGAGGCTCTGGATTCGCATCCCTCTCCTCCTCCAGTAGCAGCTCATCTTCCCTGGACACAGACCCGCCAAGGAGCTGGACTTCAGGTTGTGTCAGATGGTCACCTAATGGCTAGTGCTTTTGGTTTGTGCGTAGATGCTTTGTTATTTGTAAGGGCCAAAAAAGTGGTTCTTATTTTGTGCTTCAGACAATCTACTTTTCTGTGAGATCCATTAATTGGCCAGAGTTGATCCCTAAGAGCCTTTTCTGCAAGTAGTGATCTCTGAGGAGAAATTAAGCTTTGTTTCCTGAGGTAATTTAGGATTTTTTTTTTTTTCTAAACCGCTTCTGACTGGTTTGGGATTTTTGAAAACTTACTTGAGTAACGAGAAATTGGACCCTGGGGCCGCCGTCTGGTGGTTTTCAGTCTGGTAATTTTCATAGTCATTGGGCCTGATCCTCGAGATGAACACAGAGTAAAGTAATGTTAGGTAGTGAATTACACTGAAACCAGGAGTTTAAGATTGGGAAGGGACTTCGCTGACTACCTAATCCAACCCACTTATTTTTGTAAGAAAGAGAAAGGGCCTCAGGAGGAAAAGTGATTTGCTCTGAGTTAAATTGCTAGTCAGTGACAGAGACAATTCAGGACTCCTGCCATTCTGCCTCCTCCTCGCCAGTTCTTTCTGCAATCCTGGTGCCCCTGGGCGTCACGGAACACTGGCCCCGTGCTTTGGAGTGGGAAGGCTGCCAGGAGCCAGGCCCCAGAGGATGGCTGTTCGGAAAGGCAGTCAGCGGTCAGGAGAGTTTACTGTTGGCCCGGCTCTAAGCCTGGTTGCAGACATACTCCCACCCCCTTCCAGGATGGTTTAAGAATTACATTTTGAGAGAAGAAATGAGGGTTTATTTTCTTCCTTGCCACCCTTCTGTACATGTGTTTTTAAATGTAGAGATGCACCAGTTTTCATTGCAGGAGGATTACCCTGAAAGGTGTATCAAAAATCAGTCAGTTCCTATTGACTTTGAGGATCAGATTAATTGTGATCAACCCTCATAAAGTGTGGCCGGCATTTCGTGGTGGCTGATGGATCAAGAGCGATTTGAGGGCTGACTTTATGGGCAGCTAATTAAATGCACAATAGGGTTCTTGTTCCAGCTGGCTTTTTAATAAGCTTAGGAAAACTTCCTGAAATCCAGTTTCTTGCCTTCCATCAACTTAATGGAAGGAAAAGCCCCCTTTTCAGTGAATAGCTTCATGGGAGTATAAGCCATTGTGATACACGGGCAGTTTTCTCCTCTCCTAATTAAAAAATAAATCACAGTAACTTCTGCATGCAAAATAGGTGTGTGTACAGTCTTAGGTTTATAACTTCCTTTTGCCTTAGGCATATAGGGCTTTATGGTTTATAATTTATCTGTATATACATGTATTTTTCAGTTTCACAGTGCTTCATGAAAGGTAGTAGATGTGTTTACAGATGAGGAAACTGAGACTCAGTATGTGACTCTCTCAAAATAGCACTGATATTAAGTGCAGGAAATGGCTTTCATTCTCTAAGTCTAGTGCTCTTTTCACTGTGTAACTTACTGATATTATGTGACATTGGACAAACCTGGGTTCACATCCACCCCGCCCTGTGCCCCCTGCATTTTCCTAATAATGTTTTGTTTACAGAAAAGTTGTGAAGATAGTGCAGAGTTCCCCTGTATCCCTCCCCAGGTTTCTCCTCTTATATTATTAACAACTTATATTATCATGGTGCATTTGTCATAACCCAGAAACTGACTGTGTTACTAGGAACTAAATGCCAGGCTTAATTTGAATTTCACCAGTTTTCCCATTGACATCCCCTTTTCAATCCAAGGTACCAAATTGCATTTACTCATTAGCTCTCCCTAATCTCTGTCTGTTACAGTTTTTCAATCTTCCCTTGGTTTTGATTTTTGATGACGGCGGCTGTCTTGAGGAGTCCAGCCAGGTGTTTTGTAGGATGCCTCTCAGTTTGAATTTGGCGTTTTCTCAGCGTTTGGCTGGGTGTTAGGATGTGGAGAGCACCGTGGAGAGTGGGGGTTGCCTTGTATCGGTCCATGGCGTCAGCGTCAGGCATCATGGGCGCTGCAGACTCGATCACGTGGTTTGCCTGTGTTTGCCAGTTTCTCCTCCCAGGTTACTCTTTTGCCCTTTCGCCCTTGTTCTCTGGAAGCAAGTGACCAAGTCTAGTTTATCCGGCGCGGGCAGGATTTAGCTTCATTCCTGGAAAGGGGCTTATCTGTGTCTTACTGGAACTGTCTCCTTCCTAGGTACCTACTTGTATTTATTGAACCATGTTCTTTTATCAGTATGGACTCATGTTTGTTTAGATTATACTTTGGGCTGTAACCTAAATTGAGGTTATTGATTTTGTTGCCCACGTGGTCCCACATCTTTGGGGTTAGCTCCTGTGTTACTTTGATGCTCTTCCTTCTTGAGTTATGAGAACGTCGTTTTCTGGTGCTGCAGGATGCCCGGCTCTTAGCTATAGAACAGTCATTCCTCCCAGGAGCTCTCATTCCTTCCATTTTTACCCACTTTTTAGAGGTATATTTTGTGAAAGTTATTTAACTTTTTCAAGCCTCAGCGTCTTCATCTATAAAATGGTAGCAGTAGCTCCCTCTCTTATTGGACATTGGATGTAAAAATGGCTGCTGTTCTCACCTGACACACAGTAGGTGCTAATTCCTCATGGTCTTTGTGCAGGCACTTGGGGAATACAGTATTGGTGGGTTATAACTGTCAGTGGTGGCTTTTTTGGTACAATCATACAGTTACATTTGATTTTCTCACATTGATAATAAAATATAAGGAACAAGGATATTATTAAAGGTATTGTTGATAGATACTTCAGTACCTGGCAGACATTTCAGATGATGGGTTTATATCTTTGGATTTTCCCCTTACGGCTGTATGTAAATTAGCACATTGAGTCAAATCACAGTTTTCAGTAGGACATCCACTAGTTTTTGAAATCTCGCCTGTGTAGCTCCGGTTTGGGGCCATGCTGCTTCCAGTGTAATTGGGTAGGCAGTATGCATCTCCACACAGTGCGACCGGGGTCAGTGCCAGCTATGGTAAATTAGGTGCAGAGGTGGAGGGGAAGCATCCAGAAACTCTTCGTTTGGACATAAGTAACGACTGCAGAATATAATACAACAGTAATGATTTTTAAGTTTCATTTTGTTCGTAGTTACTTTTCATGGAATTTTATAAAAATATTGGTTTCTGTTGGATTTGAAATTAGAAAAAACAATAACTAGATCATTCCAGATTGAGAAGCTCTGTGCACTGGAGGACATTGTAGTTTATCCACAGCCTGCTTGTGGGACAACACTCAAACTCTGTGTAAGAGGCAAAAGAAACAAGTGAGACTATGTCTTCCAGTTCTCTGGTCCCCTGAAATCTCCAGGCCATTTGTCTTGCTCACTGGTATGCTTCCTGCAGCAGCAGACCTGTGTCATTTCTCTGGAAGCCTGCAGCTCTGTCTTGGGCACATGACTTGGCATCCCTTCAACTTAGATGAGAGGGAATAAGTTTTTTCTCTCAATGTTGTCAGCCTAGTATAGAGCCTTTAATTATTGCTCACAGGAGATTTTGCTTATTAATGTGCATGTTGTCTCCTCTGTTCTCTGCAGTGCTGATGTGAGTTTCATTATGGAGAAATAAATTTACCATTAGTGCTTCCATCTCTAGCTAATTGAAGTTGGCCAGACTGATCATTTTGGCAAAGTAAAATACATTTCTTGCCTAATTAGGAGTAACTTGAAATGCATTGTTTTAACCTCTGTTGCATTCAAATCAATGCTTACTTACATAAACTAAAATTTGGAAGTGCATATTATTTCTAAGATAGTTCATATTTTAGATTTGGGGGCATGCTATTTGCATGTGGCACTGTTTTCTGTTACAGATGTTGTAATAACTAAAAGCTGGGGATATATTAAGAAGGTTCTGATTCTGAACATAAGTACTTGAATTGTAGGCAGGCTCTCAGACTAACCTGGACATGCCAGGGTTGTGCTGATTTGGAGGCAGAGGGATATTTTAGATGCCCACTCAAAGCTTCTTTCAGCTCTTTGATATTAGTCTGTTTCATGTATTTAGAAAAGAAAAAAAAAAAGAATGGTTTGACTTAAAAATGCAATTTTCTATTAGGAATTTGTGCTATGTTGTATGACTTCAGAGGAACCATATGGGATCACTTACGTCAGGTGTGGAACCATTTATCCTCTGTGCTGAGTGTTTGAACGTGGGTATTTCCAAAATAACTGTAATGGCAGCACTAACTGTTCACCTTCTGTACGCGTAACATGATCTCTGCCGCAGCTCTTCCATTTCTTAGCTAGAAGGCCAGCCCTGGGTGACGAGCACTGTGGGTTAATGCAGAGGAGCAGGCAGGAAGGGGGCAGGCCGGGAGAGCTCCGGGGTGTTGCTCTTTCATCAGGGGATGGATGGGGGCTCTGGCATGGCTGTGCCCAAGTCCAGTATCTGTGTGCAGAGCTGCGGTCAGTGCCTGGGGACAGGAAGCTGTTGGGAATGGAGGTGCCCACCATAGATGCAGACGTTTCTTTCTTGGAGCTCTGCCCTCAGTGGTACGGGGTGCTGGGGTGAGGCTAAAGAACTGACCAGGCTCCTTTCCCTGCAAAACTGGACTTCAGGTTTCCTTTGCTGTGGAGTTTCTCCCTTGGTGTAAGGCATGTGTGCTTTCTGAGTGTGGCCACAGAGACAAGGGCTTGGCTGTTGCCCCAGGTTGTGCCTAGGCTGAGAGAGGGGTGTGTGGCCTGAAGCTGAGGTGGAGGAAGAATTCCTGCCTCTCTGCCTGGCTCGGCTCTGTCCCCTCCTGGGCCACATTTCTATTAAGTGATCATTGCCAAATGAAAAGGTTTGAGGCACTGTGACCACGCTGTTCATCAGTAGAAATCAGCCAGTCCTGTAGTTGGTGGTACAGGTATTGGGCCCACAGATCTACCCGGTGAGAGTGGCCGTGATTTCTGTTTAAGCTACTTGGGGGAAAATTACCAAGACCATGCTGTTAGGAATATTGGCAAAAAATACATGCATTTCCATTTTAAGGGAGACCTTACAAACAAGGTCTACATTTTTTCCCCTCACCAATGCTTAACCTCAAAATGTATGTAATTTCCTTAGATTGATAAAGGAAGCTGGCAAACAGGATCCAGAGCTGGCATACATCAGCAGCAATTTCATAACTGGACACGGCATCGGCAAGAACCAGCCCCGCACCAAACAGATGGAGGCAGAGTTCAGAAAGCAGGAAGAGGTAACTCAAGCTAAAATAGCTGCACAGTGACATTTTCAGAACACATGCGAACACACTCAGCCCACAGGAACTCCCTTTCTTCATGGTTCCTCGGCATTTTCGTGCGTATAGAATACTTGAACACAGCTAGAGTAGCTGTCTCCTCCGAGGCACCGTGTAGTGACTTAAGTTCAGGATTAGAATTGCTGTCTGGTAAATCAATTTTGTGTCTTAATTGCTGTCAACCATATCGCTTTCCTTTATCGGATGGCACACAACCACGTTTCATAAAAGAACGGCATGTGTGACCACGACTCCTGTTGACTCTGGATGACTCGGAAGCAACAATTGGAAGTTTTTCCTACAACGGGTTTTGTTATGTTTTCAGCAAAGGTTTTGGCTTAATTTTTTTTCATGTTTTTTAAGATTTTAATACAGGAAATAGCATTGTAAAGATTTGAAAGCCTAATGTTGTGTTCTGGCTCATGAGTGTAATCTTTTTATTTAAAGTTTGTTATTTAACTTAAAAGTAGCAGAATAATTCACATTGATGCCTTTTTGTATGTCATAGCTTTTTGATACTATTCCTAGTTTGGGGAGTCCGATAGCCAGAGTCTGATCTGTCTAAAACCCAATTTACTTTATTGTTCAGTGTATCCTGGATTGGGAAATGGTTATTTTAAATCTAGGAAGAAAAACATTTTTATTTTTTAATTAGTTCTGATTTCCTTGCTTGTAATTTTTAATTCCAGCTGATTTAGGGGTTTTAGTGAATTTTGGCAACTTTTGAGGAATGTTGGCACAGCCTCACAGACAAGATACCACTGTGGAGGGTCAGAGTGTCAGCAGGACTCGGGAGGTGCATTCATTTGGTCACTGTTGGCTGGATTCTTTTGTGGTCATTAACTAAGAAGCCAGCGCCTTCAACCAGAAGGCTCTCTGTGATTTGTACAGATTTCCATAAACTTGAAAGGCACTTTGGTTTTCAGGTCACACTCAGTGAAAAACTGCCCTTAAGCCATTTCTTGCTTGCGCGCTCATGCAGCGCAGGCTCGGCTCGACGCCCTCTTCCTCAGCCTGGCCTTAAAATTAGTGTGTTTAGGGTTCATGTGTCAGAAGTGTTTTTGAAAATTTTTTTAGAATTTTTTTTTTTTTTTTTTTTTGGTGGCTTTTTTTCAGGTACTTAGGAAATTTCGAGCACATGAGACCAACCTGCTTATTGCAACAAGTATTGTGGAAGAGGGTGTTGATATACCAAAATGCAACTTGGTGGTCCGCTTTGATTTGCCCACAGAGTATCGGTCCTATGTTCAGTCTAAGGGAAGAGCAAGGGCACCGATCTCCAATTACATAATGTTAGCAGATACGGACAGAATAAGAAGCTTCGAAGAGGACCTTAAAACATACAAAGCTATCGAAAAGGTAAGATCCAAAAGGTAACACGGGACCGTGAACTTATTTCTTACGTGCATAGAAATAGATAAAAACTGGTCGATCTACAGAGAATGGCCGCAGTAGGTGTGTGCAGTGTGTACATGATAAGAAAGTTGAACATAATTATAGAGCCAGCGGCATTTTATAAAGTGTTTGAAAGCTTACAATAGAATAGTGAAAATGGTTGTATATGGATCACTGAGGAAGAATGCCTGGAAAGTATGCTCTGCTGTTAGTGTGGACAGTGTAGCGACAGCTGATTGTCGTGACAGCTGATTGTTGAGTGGTGGAGTGATTTGAGAGTGATGACATAGCTCCTATACTAATGAGAGATTGGTAATCATGTGTGTGTAGGTACAGGTACACTGTAAACCCTTGTACCTGTATGATGAGTGTCTCCCTGGTCGATTCTGGGAGGAGTGCATTGGGAGAAATTTTCCTGCAGCAGGTGACTTTGGAGGATGGAAGTGTGTTTGGAAGAGAAAGGTTTCATGTCAAGGGAACTTTTTCTATAGGTTCAGAGGTACATAGCACACATGGGGCAAAGAAGGCATTTGTTCTCATCACAGATTCTGCTTTTAAAATGTTCAGATCTTGAGAAACAAATGTTCCAAGTCAGTTGATACCAGTGAGACTGATATCGAGCCTGTCGTGGATGATGATGACGTTTTCCCACCCTACGTGTTGAGGCCCGATGATGGCGGCCCACGGGTCACAATCAACACGGCCATTGGACACATCAATAGGTACAGTACAAGCTAATGTGCATGGAAAACCTGAGCATTGCAAGATTTAAGTCTAAACCTATAAGTATTGCATTGTTGTTTCCTTTTTGCAAATAATCACCAATCTTTCTGTTTATTGCTTGTAATATTTTGATAAGAGAAATTAATTTTTTTCTGAATTCTGAAATGTTTTATGCCTCAAATGTTGGGAGATACTGAAATTTGCATCAGCAGCAATTTAGGATTATGATGAGTTACTTGTATTTCTGAGTCTGTTCTAATTTACTTTGTCCTGAGTTGGTAGTGGCATTTCTGAGAACTAAGAAGAGCAGGTACATACCTGGATAAGTTCATGCAGAGGCAAAGTACAGGAGCAGCCAGCATAAGATCTCCCTTTTTAACTTTTTATTTGGAAACAATTTTAAACTTTAACATGTCGCAAGAATACTACAAAGAAGTCCCATGTACCCTGTGCCCAGAGAGACCTAGTCAGGTTCACGAGAATGTTCTGTAGGGAAAGAATTCCATCCGAGATCACGGGGTTACCTGTTGTTCTCGTCACCTCTAGTCTCCTTCAGCCTGGAAGTACTGTTCAGTCTCCCCTCACTCGAACGACCTTACCGCTTTTGAGGATTACAGGCCAGTGACTTTGTGGCCTGTCTCTCAATTTGGGTTTGTCCGATGTTTCTCGTGATTAGGTCCAGGTTATGCATTGGCCGTGTATCTTCTCTTTCCATTTCATTGGCTCACTCAATGTCATTTTGAGGTCTTACTGGCGGTAGTGATTTTAATCACTTACGTAAGGTCCGCCACCTTTTGCTGCTATAGTTACCTTCCCCCTTTGCAATTAGTGAATCATTTCACGGGGAGAGACTATATAACATTCCACTTCCCAGTTTCACTCACTATTTTAAGTATCTGTTGATATTTCTTGCCTAAATTGATTATTACTGTGATTTGTGTGGAATGGTGATTTTTCTAATTGCATTTTTTTTTCTGCATTTATTAGTTGGCCGCCTTCTGTAAGGAGGAACTTTCTCTTATCTAGTGTGAACTAATGGATTTCTGTTCTCTATTTAATGGGTTATAATCTCTTATTCTCGTTCATTACTTATCTTGATGTTAAAATTCTGGCCATTGGGAGCCCCTTCGAGGTAGCTTCCATGTCTTTTTAACATGTCACTATTATTCTCTGAACACTTCCTTATTGTATGGCACACCAAGGTGTCCTAAACTGAACTCATATTTTCCCTGCTCCAAATTAGATACTGGTTATTTCTCCAAAAGGTCCTAGTTCCTTTTAGTGGAGAATGAGTGATGTTTTAAAAACAAATTCCTGAACACTAGATATACTTATTGCCACTGGGGGATTGTCGCTACAAAGCTCTTTAGTTGACAGAGCTAGAAAATGCATTTATGCGTATACATATGTGTATTCACATAGGCATGTGTATCTATATTTATTTCTGTAGCTGACTGCTCACCTGTTGTTACCTCCGATGTTAGTGTGACACCAGAGGGTTCAGTCTAGCTTGCCTCTCTTTCCATCTTTGTTCCTGGTTTTTTTAATAGTGAGAAATACGTTTCCTGTTGTTTTCAGAATAATTTATGTTCAGCCTCCCTGCATGCAGCCTGTCAGCTTCCTGCTCTGCAGGGCTGCTGTCACGTTTGGGTGCTCTGATTGCACAGGCCCTTACCTTGCAGGGCTGCTGTCCATTCCAGGACCCTTCTCGCCTGGGTCCTGGCCCCTCTGGGTTGCCTTCCTGTCTCAGCAGCCTCCTTGCTTGGCCTCAGCTCCCTGTGGCTGGCTTCTTGCCCTGCAGGAGCACCCTCCTGCGCTGCTGCTGGTGGTCTTGTTCTCAGGCCTCTTGGTCAGTACTGGCTGCCCTTCCACCTCTTCTAATGTCTTCCTTGCACAGGCCCAGTCCTGGTTGGCAAGTGTAAGATTATTAAGGAATGAACACTGGCAGTGTGTTCTCTTAAAAGATTCAGAACAACAGTTTTTGTGCTGTCCAGCATGGTAGTCACTAGACATGTGGCTATGTAAGTACAAATTTGAATTTTAATTAAAATAAAATAAAAAGTTCTGTTCCCTGGCTGCCCTCCACATTTCAGGGGCTCAGTGGCTGTCCTCGTGGTCAGTGCACTTACAGAGCATCATCGCAGAGAGTTCTGTTAGACACAAATGCCACTCCAGTAGAGGGGAAGAGGGACGTCATAAATCAGACTTGAGGATGTGAATGTCAGTACAGATTGTTTTCATCTACTTCTCAGTTGTAGATTGAGCATCCCAACTTACTTTTCTTCACAGATACTGCGCTAGGTTACCAAGTGACCCGTTTACGCATCTAGCTCCTAAATGCAGAACCCGAGAGTTGCCTGATGGGACATTCTATTCAACTCTTTATCTGCCAATTAACTCGCCTCTTCGAGCCTCCATTGTCGTAAGTTTATAAAAAGACATGATTACACCTTTAGCATATGCCATGATGGATTTTTTCCAGCTTCTCTAAGCCTGTGCAACTTATAGGTAAATTTGGCTTTAAATCTACTTTGAAAAGTAGGTATATAAATCTCTTTTGTAGTCAGCTACATGTTTAGGTCTTTAATCGACTGTATAACTCACAGACTCGTAGAATTGGAATATATGACCTCTGAAGTCTCTTAATGTCAACCTTTCTGACAGAACCATTCAGCTGTGGCTTAGATACATACAGTGACACAGATTCATTAACTATAATTGGCTGCTCTAGTTATTTTGTTGTTGACTTAAGAATCTGCCTTTGAGTAACTGCTGTCCTTGATCCCAGTGCTGATTTCCAGATATTCCAAGATGACTCATTTCTGTTGCACGTTAAAAGTTGTTTAGTACTGTTACCATGTATGCTATAGCACATCCTGATATATCTTTATTTTGTTTTGGTTACATGTTTGTACATTAATGAAAATAAAATACATTAAAATCTTATTAAAATTTAAATTCACCAAAATTGTCTAATCTTAGCTTTAATTTATTTAGTTTTTCTGGGCAAGATTTCTAAAGATGTATATTTTAGATACAGAGAATAGGGTTTTAAACTTGTTGACATTTTTCAAAATAACTTTGCTCTGGTAAATTTCAGCTTAAAAGGTATTGGGGCAGAGGTTTCACAGATGCTTTAGGTGTTAATGATGATACAGCTATGTGCAAGTACAATGGAGATATTTTTTGTTACTTTCAGGGTCCACCAATGAGCTGTATACGATTGGCTGAAAGAGTTGTAGCTCTTATTTGCTGTGAGAGACTGCACAAAATTGGTAAGTGTGTGAAAAGCACTTGCAAATAAAGTTAAAAACCTTGTAAAACAAAAGCACATCAAGGACTTTATAGGCTCACGCATTTTGTGGAGCTGTGAGCTGTGCCCTGGTGACTGTGGGCGTGAGTGGGACACAGCCTGATGATCCTGTGCGGGTCAGGAGTGCTGGTTTCCCACAGCTGAACTGCAGACAACTGTCATTTTTTGCTTTCTTTTAGATACACAAAGGTTTTCACTTACTGTTGAATCATGAATGTTTGTGTTTTAACATATCAGTCTCTCAAATTATATTAGTGTGCTAATTAACCCACATTTTTAAAAATGGGAAGACTTGTTCTTCCGTGGCTTTTGTAAAGTGATGACAGTGTGCTGTTTTCCTGTTCGTGTGTTTTTATTTTTGAACTTAGAACAGTTTATAATCCTGCTCATATTGAATATATGAATGCCGGCATAGACCGTGCCTTAAGTAGCACATTCATTTATGTTTTATTATTAAGGGCAAAGATGCTTTAGTTGTCATTACTCTTCCAGTTGCTGTCTAATGTAATGCTGCTCAGTATTATTTACTAATTAATTAGAGAGGCAACACTTGCATTGTTTATGTCAATTCTCGTTTCATTTCTCAGGTGAACTGGATGACCATTTGATGCCAGTTGGGAAAGAAACTGTTAAATATGAAGAAGAGCTTGATTTGCATGATGAAGAAGAGACCAGTGTCCCAGGCAGACCAGGTTCCACAAAACGGAGACAGTGCTACCCAAAAGCAGTGAGTATTGGTTAGCACTGGGTAAAAATGGAGCCTTTCTGACTTCTTCTTTCCCATGGCATCAGATCCTAATTGCTCTGTTTGGCTTCCCGAACCCCTGTAACCTGGCCCACTCTGGACCTCCGCTCCTCTCCCCAATTTGTACCTTCTCTTGGACCTGCACCGGGCGCTCTTTCCCACTCAGACATCGCTTCTGTTTTTCTTCGGGAAGGGTTCTTAGACTCACCCGCCAGAGTCCGTCCAGAATAAGCTCATTTCGTTTAAAGAGGTATTCTTTGTTTTATTCACTGTAGTGATAAGATTCCTGCTTTACTTGTGTTCAGGGCTAAGACAAGAGGATTTATATGATAAAATGGACAAGTGAAAATATGCCTGTTCAAATGAGGGGCACACCGGTGGGTATAAGTACAAATATTTGTCAGGAGTTAGGATGTGACCTACTAGGAACCAAAATCAGTTATTTTAGTGTCTGTGTCCAGGTTGATGTGGGGCAGGATTCATGCACTAAGGCATCTGAGCCTAACTTCTAGTTGTAGTTGTATAATCAACAGTGCACATTGTGAGGTAGGTGAACTTGGGCCACCTGTATCTCAGACCTGAGAACTCCCCAGCAGGTTAAGTAAATAGGAGGCCATGTGCCTCAGTTATTTTCTTAGCTTTTCCTCATCAGCATTTAGTAAAGCCAGAAAGAAATTTGCTTTCTTGCCAACATCTGGAAGAGAGGCTGTTGTACCTGAGCTTGATGCTTAATCTTTCTTTCCAATTCTAGATTCCAGAATGTCTGAGGGATAGCTATCCCAAACCCGATCAGCCCTGTTACCTGTATGTGATAGGAATGGTCCTGACGACACCGTTACCTGATGAGCTCAACTTCAGGAGGCGGAAGCTCTATCCCCCGGAGGATACCACAAGATGCTTTGGAATACTGACAGCCAAACCTATACCTCAGGTGAGACACTCCATGATGACTGTGTTAAAAAGACACTGTTTCTTTAAAAAAGGTAAACTACTTAAGAGTGGCTGCTTTTGTTACCTCAGTATGTTTAATATTTAAAAAATGAGCCGTTTCTTCTATTCCCTGATAGAAAGCATCACTCCTCTTCTGAAGTTAAATATTTCCAAGGGAGTAAAATACCTGTTAACCTGTGGGGTGCTTTATCTTTCTTTTTGCCAAGATCCCGCACTTTCCTGTGTATACTCGTTCTGGAGAGGTCACCATATCGATCGAGTTGAAGAAGTCTGGTTTCACATTGTCTCTCCAAATGCTCGAGTTGATTACAAGACTCCACCAGTACATATTCTCACATATTCTTCGCCTTGAAAAACCTGCACTAGAGTTTAAACCCACCGACGCTGACTCGGCCTACTGTGTTCTACCTCTGAACGTTGGTAAGGAGGACCGGGCTCGAAAGCGTTCGCTTACACTCGCTGAAGAGTGAGTTTGGCTTGACAGCCAGCTTCTGTGTATACTCCAGAAGTCTCTTACTTGGATAACTCTAAGTTAGACACATATATGAATGTATAGCTTAAGGAAGAATCTTTCCTGTGGTATTATATTTTAAAAAGCTAAAAGAGTCTTTTCCTTCCCTAAGTTAATGACTCCAGCACTTTGGACATCGACTTTAAATTCATGGAAGATATTGAGAAATCTGAAGCTCGCATAGGCATTCCCAGTACCAAGTATTCGAAAGAAACACCCTTTGTTTTTAAATTGGAAGATTACCAGGATGCAGTTATCATTCCAAGGTCAGTAGTAAGTGGAGATCAGGGTGCCGGCGATACATTGTTTCAGAGGCTCACTTGTTCACATGGGAGTGTGATTGGGCTCTGATTTTTGGCAGTGATGTTTCCACTAGGAAATGTAGGTCTCTCTTCATGTCGGACTTTTCTCTCCAATTTACGCCCTTAAAAAACAAAACCTAAGCACTATGGTTGAAGAGATTTTACTTCGTGAAGGTCAGATAAAACGAGTGGTGTTGACAGGCTTGCTTCTTAAAATCACCATCCTTTTAATCCTGAGAGTCTTCTATAATTTGATCATAAATATTTCTCAACATTTTTATAAAGAATAATGTTAAGTGCAAAGGAAATAGTAAATCTGAATGCTTTTACTCATTTTGTAAAAATTTAGGGAATGGAGATTTTTAGGCACTTTTCAAAGAGTTTAGAATACTGGCTATAATACAGTCTTTCTCTGATTTTTTCTTTGTGCCCCTCAAAACCATATTTTAATGTTAGCTGTCATCACACTGTCAGCATCGGTAATGGTGCAGTAATGCACTCCTGTGGCAGGTGTCTGTCACAGTTCACATTCGTAATGTACAAGTGTCTGCTCAGTTTTGGTAGTGGAAGTTTTCTGTACTGTTATATTGATGAAATTAGGAGATACTTAATGGTGCCATTTAGCTTCTTGTGTCATCAAAGTATAGATAGTTAGCCTGAGGATAAGAGTGAAGTAGTGGAGAATGGTCAGTTAGGTTTTGCTTAATATAAATGTAGTACTTTTTTCCAAATCCACTTGTAATATGTAATTTGCAGTTGTTTTTATTAATGTTACTGTTTTTAACCTTTTGAACTCTTAAAGTCATATTTGCATTTCCATATTAAATACAGTTGTATTTGAGAAAGTCATATTTGCATTTCCATATTAAAAATAGTTGTATTTGAGAATAGTTGATGTGAACTGCAAAGTCACTGATTTTTTTTTTTTTTTGTAGGTATCGAAATTTTGATCAGCCTCATCGGTTTTATGTAGCTGATGTGTACACTGACCTTACCCCACTGAGTAAATTTCCTTCCCCCGAGTATGAAACTTTTGCAGAATATTACAAAACAAAGTACAACCTTGATCTGACCAATCTCAACCAGCCGCTGCTGGATGTGGACCACACATCTTCAAGGTAAGGGGTTTCACTTGAGGCATTTTGCCAGGGGCGAGTGGGCACATGTAGAGGTTCACTTTCTATGCTGCCCACCTGTAGACTCTGAAATCAGACCCTTTGTGCACAGAATTGCCCAGGTGTGGTCCAGGGGTCTGCGGTTGTAAGTGAGCTCTTCAGGTGGCTTGTAGGCACACCAAAGTTGCAGAATCGCTTTGAGGGTGTACATGTTTTTGTCTGTTTGATACAATTGTTTTGACATTTTTGCAGACTTAATCTTTTGACACCTCGCCATTTGAATCAGAAAGGAAAAGCTCTTCCTCTAAGCAGTGCTGAAAAGAGGAAAGCCAAATGGGAAAGTCTGCAGAATAAACAGGTAATGAGTTGATGGTCATAGCATAACTTAATATTTTCATAGATAAGTGTGAATTTTATATTATCAAGTGAACTAAGTGACTTGTAAATATTTTGGAAATTGCTCAACCCTTAGGTTTTGTTTCAGTTTGACTGATATTATGTGTTGACTTTTATTTGACTGTCTTTTTGGTAAGTATGAGTGGTTTGGCTTTTACATTTGGTCCATTGGTACAATTTTATCATGAAATCATCCTTATAAATCCTAGGATAAATCCCATTTGGTCCTCAAGGGTTATTTAAAAAATTTTTTTTCCAATATTTCCGTTATAGTTGACATTAGATGCAGATGTACAGCATAATGGTTAGACATTGCATAACTTGACCCAAGCAATCCCCTGCGAAAGCCCTGTACCTCCCTGACACGTACATGGTTGTTATAATGTTGCTGACTGTGTCTCCTGCGCTGCGCCGCCATCCCCAGGCGATTCTATAGCCACTGGTTTGTCCTCCTTAATCCCTTCACCTTTGCACCCTGCCCCTGCCCCTGCCCACCTGAGCCATCAGCTGGGCTTATATATTTTGTCCACTGACACAATTATATCAGAGGAAATCCTCCTTATGAGCCCTAGGATAAACCCGTGTGGCCTTGAGGGATTACTTTTTAAAATATTTTTAAAATAAGATTTTACTAGTACTTACGATTTCTGCCCTTATCCAGTAGTGAGGTTGGTCTTAAATTTGTTTTTCATTCTTTTGTGTGTTTGCTTTATATTCGTCTCTTTGCATTTTTCGCTTTCCAAGATCCTGGTCCCAGAGCTGTGTGCTATCCACCCGATCCCGGCATCGCTGTGGAGGAAGGCGGTGTGCCTGCCCAGCATCCTCTACCGCCTCCACTGCCTGCTCACCGCCGAGGAGCTGCGGGCCCGCACGGCCAGTGACGCCGGCGTGGGGGTCCGGGCGCTGCCCGTGGACTTCAGGTAGACCTCTTGCAAGAGAGCCAAACTAGGTTTAAACTTTAATTTTATATAAAATGGCTCTTAAAAGATTAAAAAACGTGGATGTCTAATACGTGACATAAATGCATCTTTTGATTCCTAAGTGAAAAATCTGTATATTGAGTCCTGTGTTCCTGTGAAGTTGCAGAGGGAGGTGAGATACTAAGATCAAAAGTAATTCTCTTCCCTCAGTGCTGCAGTTGAAGTGAAATGAAAATGGCCCTTGTTACTGTGCGGACATCCTAAGACCGCTTCCTCTTGTACTTCCGATGCGCGTTGAAAAGCAGTTGCTTCAGTGTGTTCTTTGTCTTCATTATTTTCTTCCCACTAGGAAAGTGTCTGCACTTTAAGGAAATCAGTGGTTTAACCACTTAAATTAATTTTGGTTATCCAACTGGCAAGACCAAGATGGTTCTAGAGACTGAGGAACTTTAAAATATAATAATAGTAATTGTTGTGAGTTCCACTTCGAGTTGGAAGCTCAGGCACAGAGGGGTAATGTAAATTGCCCTAAGTTTCCCATCTAGGTCACTGGAGGGCCTGGGGTCCCAGGTCCCGCAGGCCGACTGCAGGCTTCATGACCTGACCACCACACCGCGGTGGACGGGCTTAAAGCAGTGCAGCGAGCCATGCCCCACCTCACAGCGTACACTGGGTAGACGTCTGCCTTGGAAACTTTCTCTTCTAAAGTAGTAGTAGTAGTAGTAGTAGTAGTAGTAGTAGTAGTAGTAGTGTGTGTGTGTATATATATATATATATGGATCTTTATTTTTTATACAAATTACTCTTGCTTTAAACCTAGCCCTTTTGCAGGATCTGATGGAAAGTTATAAAAATGTCTTTGCAGATACCCTAACTTAGACTTCGGGTGGAAAAAATCTATCGACAGCAAATCTTTCATCTCAATTGCTAACTCCTCTTCAGCTGAAAATGATAATTACTGTAAGCACAGCACAATTGTCCCTGAAAATGCTGCACATCAAGGTGCTAATAGAACCTCCTCTCTAGAAAATCATGACCAAATGTCTGTGACCTGCAGAACGTTATTCAATGAGGCATCCGGTAAGCTCCCAATTGACGTTTCCACAGATCTTACAGCAATTAATGGTCTTTCTTACAATAGAAGTCTTGCCAATGGCAGTTACGATTTAGCTAATAGAGACTTTTGCCAAGGAAATCAGCTGAATTACTACAAGCAGGAAATACCTGTACAACCAACTACCTCATTTCCCATTCAGAATTTATACAATTATGAGAACCAGCCCAAGCCCAGCGATGAATGTACTCTACTGAGTAATAAATACCTTGATGGAAATGCTAACACATCTACCTCAGATGGCAGTCCCGTGGTGGCCGCGGTGCCTGGTCCCACAGAAGCTGTTCCAGCGCTCAAGGACAGGCTGGGTTCTGAGCAGAGCCCCTCTCCTGGGTACTCCTCGAGGACTCTGGGCCCAAATCCCGGACTCATTCTCCAGGCTTTGACCCTTTCCAATGCCAGTGATGGATTTAACCTGGAGCGGCTTGAGATGCTTGGGGACTCCTTTCTAAAGCACGCCATCACCACATACCTGTTTTGCACTTACCCTGATGCTCACGAGGGCCGCCTTTCATACATGAGAAGCAAAAAGGTAAGAAGTCCTTCTTTCACTTGGAGCAGTAGAGTAATTGCTCAGTTGCCTACATTGGTTTCAGAGGATGGGGCAAGTGTTAACCTTGGGGGCTGCCATACCTGGCATGTGCAGCTGAAGCCGTGGCACACCTGTGTAGGAGTTGACATGAGTCTGTCACTGATGAAGGGTTCAGGTTTGGGGGCCGGCCAATCTGGATGTGTCTTATTTATTGATAGGCATTCAGTTCACATACAACTGTTTTTGAGAGCCTGTGCCTTAATTCAGGTGAATGAAACATTTATTTGGGTGGTGCTGTCTTGGCATACAGTGCATACAAACATGGCTAAGACATGGCTTTCACGGAGCAGCTCAGCTCGTGGTTGTAGGAAGTTGGGGAGGGGAAAGAGCAGCACCTTCCCTTTGCTCAGTGACTCCAGCATGAGGAGAGTGAGCTTCGGATTCTGAGTAAGCATTGCCTGATAACCCAAAGGAAAAGGGTGTGCTCTTAAATTTAGTGTGGAGTCAAGATTTAAGGAAGAAAATAATGAAGGTAAAATGATGATAAAAGGGTGTCACAAGTCCGTGTGCACCTGCTTGACAAATAGCTTATCTGCCAGTTACCCTAAGTACCCAGGGAAGGGTCATCACTTGTGATCAGGGGAGATGTTAAGGGAAGAGGTGTGTGCCCAGTGTGCCCGGGAGGTGGACAAGCAGCAGAGCGTGTGGGTCTCAGTGAGTAAGCTGGCAACAGTCACCACTGTGGAAATTCCCAAGGAAAGACTTAGAAAGGTGGGTGGGCCTCAGCTGCATGGTGGAGGGTCTTCCATGCGAGGCAAGGGAGTTTGCACCTTGAATGTTGTAGGCACTGCTGAATGTTGAAGGCACTCATTGCATAAGGGACTGCTAATATTAATAAAGAGGTGGTTTTAAATGAGCAGTCTGGTAGCCGAATGCAGTGAGAGTTGAAAAGCAAGACCAGCCAAGCTGAGCAATCAGTTGGCTTTGAAGAAGTCTAAGCTTAAGCAGAAGTGGGTTGTCTGAGTTCTGGCTGTAAGGAAGGAACTGGGGGGAGTGGTATTGCAGAGGAAATAATTTTAGCCAGCACTTATGGAGTGCGTACTCTTGGTAGACTACTCTCTTATTCCCTCTTAGAGATGAGGAAACTGGAGTAGTGGAGGTCAACTTGCCCAAGGTCATGGCAAATAGATGGCAGAGCCCAGCCTGCCTTTAGAGACCTTGCTTTTCGCCATTGCACTGACCTAGCCTTGATACTACCCTGTAACACCAGACACTATACTGGGCATTTTACAGGCCTTCTCCCTTAATCTTTTCAATGAGCCCTAAGAGGTAGATGACATGTCCCCATTTTGCAGATGAGAAAACTGCTTAGGGAGTTTAATTACCTCATGTAAGGTCATCTAGCTAGTCTAGGAGAGTCAGGAGTGTGTCTGAGGCTGGAGCCTGTCCCATCACCATCTTTGCTGCTGCTTCCCGTATGGTTGGGAGGCAGAGAGACGAGAGACGGGGGGTGCAGTAATGACAACCACATAAGCTGGGAGGTTGGGCGATACTGGTGCTACGGTGAGGTAGACAGACATACAGGAATCAGGGCTCGGGTTGGGTGTTTAGACCTCATGGAATATGAAGTGGAACGTTCAGATAATTGACAATTTAGAACTAAGATATGCTTTGGGGGAGTAGTCTTTATACGAGTGAGATTTCCCAGGGGTGGTTGTAGGAAGATGGTATCAGAGGCTAAGAGTGATGACTCTGTTAGGTAAGAAAGACATTATTTTCTATTTCGAACATTCATCTATTTGCTCAGAGGGCCTTGACTCCCTGTTTCCTGCAGAAATTCTTACTCCCTTCACCTGGTGTAAGGCCTTTCGGGATGCTCAACCCCAGATCCGCTCTTTTCACACGGACCCCTTGTGCACATGCACCTGGTGCTCTTTTCAGAGCTCTCACCCCATTTCTGAGCACTGAATTCTGCTTGTCTCACATTTGATCTTCCTATTTAGCTCTTTTTCTATCCTGCCAGCCATTTCTGTCGACAACGTTATTTCCATCCTCTCGTTGGCATCTGAGATGTTGTGTTCTCATAGTATGGGAAAGGAAACTGGCATCTGTTTGAGCTGTTACGTTTCAGGCAGCGTGGGAAAGCCCTTTAGCACGTTGTGAGTGTTGGTGGACTCCTCCTTCCCAGCTGTGTTCTCTCCAGGGCCCACTCTTGTCTTGCGGACTTCGTTTTCTCAGGGATGCTGGACTCAGTGCCTTCCCTGTGATGGGTGCTTGCCCCATGGTATTGGGTTACTTGGAGAAAGGGCTCATGAAGTACTTAAATAAAAAGAAACCCAGGTTTTAGAAAACGAAAATGAGGTTCACAGTTTTAGACTCTAGTTTCCATGTAAAAATGAGACAGAAATGCAATAATTTGAGTAAATTAGGGAGATGATGGAGGCCTTAGGAAAAACAGAATGGAGGGTTTTATTGATGCAAATCAACATGAGAGTTGTTCTTTATTGCCTTTTGCTCTATTTTAAAATGACTGAACAAAAACTATCTTGCAATACCACACAAAACAAAAAGGAATAATGTTCGAGAAAACATTACAATTGCAATCATATTTGTGGCTTAGGTTCTAGCATTATAAAATTATTTTAGCTCTGTTCAGTGCCAGTTTTCACTTTAATTTCATTGAGAATATGTGACATCTTGGACTTTTTATATGGATTCTTTTCCTGATAGCTCCAATTAGCAATATGCATTTTATATCAGCAGATTATGCTTTCAAAAGGTTGAGATTGAACTGTTTATTTTGACTTTATAAGGAATTTGCATATATATATCAGTTTTTTCTGATCTGCATTTAATACTCAGAAATATTCATCTAACTACACTAACGAATGTAGAATTTAATATTTTCTATCAGTCTTTATATTGATAACCAATTACAGTAATGTAGGTAAAAATGTTAATATGCCTTGTGTGAATTTCAGCAGTGATCATTTATAGTAAGTGTCTTATAAATTTTTTCTGCTGAAGGTCAGCAACTGTAACCTGTATCGGCTTGGAAAAAAGAAGGGACTGCCCAGCCGCATGGTGGTGTCAATATTTGATCCCCCTGTGAATTGGCTTCCTCCTGGTTATATAGTAAATCAAGACAAAAGTAACACAGATAAATGGGAAAAAGATGAAATGGTAAGTTTTTTAATAACCGGAGGATTTAGTTTTTGGTGAGGGGGAGAATTTTGTTCTATTAATTTTTTGTTTCTTTTCCCTGGTATGTTTATAATAGATGTTTGATATATTGAGTTAATAACTCTATAAATAGACTGTCTTTTCATTGGATTTAGAAACAATGTTGCAATTTTTATGGAAGACAATTTCTGTTATCTTCCTTTGTGAGAGTTTAGAAGAGTATCTAATGTTGTGATTCAAAAGAAGAAAAAGAAACACCCCATAACACTTCACTTTCCTGTTAACCTGTTATAGTATATTGTAGATCTTTACTTAGCTCTGTTCAGTGAAATGACCTTTCATTGACCTATGATCTCCAGTCTGTGAAATAATGAAATTTCAATAAAATCTTGCTTTTGCAGCTCAGGGTATTTTCAGGACTGTTCCTTCTTTTGTGACATAATAAATCACTGTACATAAACATTGTAGTTTTCTGGAAATAGTTTAAATCTTGCCAATGACTTCAGAAGACTCCGAATGTTCGCTGCAGTGTGCTTCATGGTGTCTTGTCTTGAAGGCCACCAGAGGGCACCTCGGAGGGCCGCTGAGCTGAGCTGGGAGAGCAACCAGTCCTGCTGGGCTTGGCTGGAAAACTCCAGCGCCTCTTCCAGAGGGAGAGGCGCTCTCAGGCAGTTTCATCTCAGAAGTTTATTTTGCACAAGTGATAAACTGATTCATTGTTACTTCATTTTTACTTCAGGCCAACAATGAGAATACCGTTTTTTTCACAGGCTATATTTTCTAACTATACATGTTCTTGTCTTCTTTCTGACGTGCATGTCCCAGATATCGGTCCTAAGTATTTCCAGGTCTCACACTCTGTGACTCTATCTGTATTTTTACCTCTATATTGAGTTTATTTTTAAGCCATGCAGTGTTCTACTTATAGAAATTAAATGTATGTGGAAAAGCATCAAGAGAATATTTTAATGCCAGTTGGGTTAGAAAAAGTACGTTATTAATTTAGAAATAGGTAGAACCTTAGGAGAAAATGTGTAGATTCTGAGAACTTTAGAGAAAATATTACATTTTTACAAAAATTATGCCAGTAACAATTACCTTGCTTTGTAAATACAGTTTTATAATATAATTGACTCTTTAAAAAAAACAAATTTAGGATAAAGTTGACATTGGCATGTCCTTTTGATTTAAAAATATTTTTTTAAGCTACAGCACACAGTTCTTTTTCTTGCCATTTCAGATGAACTGGCGCTTGGGTTCTCAGGATACGTTAAAAATACCGTTCATGCTTTCACTAAATAATTTGTACTTACTGAAATAGGCCCTTACATGCTATTGAAAAGCTTATGCTCATCCCATTCCTGCTGTATATGCCCTACCACTCAGCAATAGGCTTAAGCGAAACCTTTGCATACAGATGCCGCAGGTGGTAATAACTCAGGTAGAAAGGTCACTTGAACTGTGAGAGGAGAGTTCCGTGCTGGGCTCTTTACTTTTAGAGGTTGAAGTGCTCCTGGAAATCATTTAGTGAGGTAGAATCCCACTGTTTTGCAGATAAAGAAACTGAGACCCAGAGGCTTAAAGAATCTTGCCCAAGATCATACTGCTTATTTGTGATAAAACTCAGTCCTTTGGTTTTTTCATTTCGTTTTGTTTTTTTGTTTTTCTTGTGCTCTGCTAATTTTAGCTTATGTTAGCGTCTCTATAAAGAATATATAAGGATGTTTTTAATTAATTGTTCAGTCTGATTTTTTTTAAAAAATTGCGATTTGGCCCTGTCTTCTAAGGACCAAACAATAGCCAAAAAACAACTCGTGTTACCTGGAGAGTATAGGATTTTTAACAGGAAATAGTTCCTAGAGGTCTGCTAGTGTTTCTTTTGGGGTTCTTCCTTATTCTAGAAAAATTTTTTATAAACTTTTTTAAAATTTAAAAATATATACATAGTTAAAGGTATATATGGCTAGGCTCACTGCTCTTACTACTTTTCAAACTATTACAGTTTGTAATTCTCTTGAGTCTGGCTTAAAGTGAAAATATTTGCAGCATTTAAAAAGTGCTTGACAAAAAGTTTGAGAACCTTTCAGAACGCTCTGAAAGTTGTCACCATCAGATTGGAACACAGCCTGCTGCCTCTCCCCCCAAAGTCAAGTCTTGGTGTGTGTGTTTTTGTTTTTGTTTTTTTAAATTTTATTGCTCATCAGAAATTTGGCATCTTCCTAGCATTGCAAAAAAGTTACATCATTACTGAATCCTAGCCCATTATTAAGGTTGTCATTCACAAAATAAGCTTTTGCCAAAGAAATTGGAATTAGTAAAGATCTCCTGACAGAAATTGGATTGTTGTGTTTCGTGTTAGTCTAAATTTTCTTCTATTTTTGTCAGTTATGCTATAATCAGTTACCCTGATTACTGTAGCTCAGTGGAGGGGGAAAGTATAATTTCTCAAATTCATGGCTTGGTTCAGTGATCACTTTTAGTTTTACATTGTAGCAAATGTACTTTGATTCAAAGTAGAAATAGGGACAGAAACTTTATCATGAAACTCTTGCACATTTTTAACGTTATGAAGATTTAATAAATAATTGTATCTGCTTTTATAGTATACTCCTAATTGCAAAGGTAATTCTTTTTCTTCGTCTGGAATTTAATTTTATTAATTAGAAAATCTTTTTAAAACTTCATCAGCAAAATTGAAGATCTCTCTGATCGGCACATGAGTGCTTTCATTGTGTGTCCTGCCAGAGTTAGAGTTCTCAGCTGAAGGTTTGCCTTGTGGACATTAATTTTAACTTCATATACCAAGTATAAAATCCTTAGCTTAAAGCTTCATACTGGATAAAGGTCATTTTATAACTCAGAAAATGAACATTCAAAGAACATGTTTTACTTTGTTTATATGATTAAATAACTTATTTTATGTTAATTGAAAACAAATGGCCATGATTTTAAAGTTGCCTTTTAGTATTTGTGGTTGTCATTTGAAATTATCCATAACCCTTGCTTTTATTGAGTCTCAAGCCCTTTTAAAAACAGCAGCTCTGTCTCCCCTCCTTCCCCATTCCCCCTCGTTGCAGACAAAGGACTGCATGTTGGCTAATGGCAAACTGGAGGACGACTTGGAGGAGGAGGAGGACCTGGTGTGGGGGGCGCCCAAGGAGGATGCCGACTACGAGGATGACCTCCTGGAGTACGACCAGGAGCATATCAAGTTCATAGACAACATGCTAATGGGATCAGGAGCTTTTGTAAAGAAGATTCCTCTCTCTCCGTTTTCGACCACTGACTCTGCGTACGAATGGAAGATGCCCAAAAAAGCCTCCGTAGGTAGCATGCCATTCTCGGCTGACTTGGAGGATTTTGACTACAGCTCCTGGGATGCAATGTGCTACCTGGACCCTAGCAAAGCGGTGGAGGAAGACGACTTTGTGGTGGGCTTCTGGAACCCGTCAGAAGAAAACTGTGGTGTTGACACAGGGAAGCAGTCCATTTCTTATGACCTGCACACTGAGCAGTGCATTGCTGACAAAAGCATAGCCGACTGTGTGGAAGCCCTGCTGGGCTGCTATTTAACCAGCTGTGGTGAGAGGGCTGCTCAGCTTTTCCTCTGCTCCTTGGGGCTGAAGGTGCTCCCGGTAATTAAAAGGACTGATCGGGAAAAGGCCATGTGCCCCGCTAGGGAGAATTTCAACAGCCAACAAAGGAACCTTTCAGGGAGCCGGGCTGCTGCCTCGGTCGCCAGCTCCCGCTCCCCCGTATTGAAAGACTTGGAGTACGGTTGCTTGAAGATCCCACCGCGATGTATGTTTGATCATCCAGACGCAGATAAGACACTGAATCACCTGATATCGGGTTTTGAAAATTTTGAAGAGAAAATCAACTACAGATTCAAGAATAAGGCTTACCTCCTGCAGGCTTTCACTCATGCCTCCTACCACTACAATACCATTACTGGTAAGGAGCCCAGACCCAGCCCCACTCTGAAAATGCGACCATGTGCGAATCGCATTATTTTGGCCCTGTAAAAAAAAGTGATCTATGCATGTTCAAACTTGGCGCCTAATATGCATGGTGGGGGGAGGAAGCAAAGACACACGAAAGAAGCCTTTAATTTTTTGGAGAGCTACATGGCCCCTTTGATAGTTGGGAGGAAAGCGCTCTCCTATGCTCACATATGTCATTTTATGTGCTGCGCAATTAGGGAAAGCGGAGCCCTGGCGTTCCGATGCGCCCCTCCTGTTTTATCCTGCCCCAATGCCTCTCTGCTGCTTTGGCTTCCTGATTTATTTACATATTCTGGATGCACTTCCACATCCTTTTATCATTCTTCGTAACAAAAAAGGCCTCTCTCGGGCCTTTTTAAGTCTAAAGATGAATAGATTATAAGAAATGACTTCACAGAAGGCTTCACTGCCCTCGCTCTGACTGCTATTGTCTCTGCTCTGCATTGGGCTCCATGTTTCTCCCCTCTTTACTTAATAGGCTCCCAGCCCATGGGATTAGGAGGAATAGGCACCTAAAAGCTAAACTCAGCTTCAGCCTGCAAAACGTGAAGTCTCCATGTTTTTCTGTATCAGAGGAACGAGTGCTTGACTCGGGAATAACAAAGTGCTACACAGTTTGTGTAAGAAAAACAACGTAGATTAGGATGGTCTGAGAAATGTGAAGCCAGGAAGTGAAAATGATCCGACTCTGGACTAGAAAGACTGTGACACTGAAACCTGTTTTTCTTGGTGAGAAGAGACGAGGCGTGGTTTCTACTACACAGTCCTGGGGCAAGGTCTGGGCTCTAGCCTACCTCAGCCCCTGCCTTTGAATCATTGGGGAGGCTGGGGCAAGTCACTTCATCTGTCCCTGCCTCAGTTTCCTCAGTTGAACGTACTGTCTTTAATCACTGAGAACATTTAGGTACTGGTTAATGTTGATAACTTTTCACATTTTGACAACCAACTGCTTTGGCCTAAGGTCTTGGCTCATGTCTCCAACTCTTTATTTCTCAATCTTGGTTTGTGTCAAATTCAGCATTTTTTTCTTTTTAATATGTCTTTATTGATTTCAGAAAGAGGAAGAGAGAGGGAGAGAGAGAGAAACATCAATAATGAAAGTCATTGATTGGCTGCCTCCTGCAATGCGCCCTGCTGGGGACTGAGCCCGCAGCCTGGGCGTGTGCCTTGACCAGGAATCGAACCCTGATCTCCTGGATCATAGGTCGATGCTGAACCACACTGGCCAGGCCAACTTTTTTTTTTTTTTAATTAAGTTTTTTTAGAGGGAGAGGAACGGGGGGAGAGAGAGAGAAACAGCAATGTGAGAGCAAAACATCAGTTGGCTGCCTCCCACATGCCCCTTACTGGGGGTGGAACCCTCATTCTTTCCATGCACAGGACAGTGCTCAACCAACTGAGTCACTTCAGGCAGGGCACAATTCAACATTTCTAATCTGAGTTGAGAAGAGGGTCTTATTGTACTAACTGTCATCTTGTGTAACATCTGTTACACAGGAGTGGCGAGGAGTGGTGTCACTTAAACACATTCGAGAGTGAGTGCTGTGCATTGATGGTGCCAGGTGGAAGCTTGCATGCGGAGTCGGCCTCACTGCAAGATGGTGTGAGACTTTAGGACAGTGCCCAGCACCTGCCTGGCCAGCATGGTGCCAGAGGAAAAGGGTTCGGTGATAATGATGTCACCTGGGAAAGGTTTTTTCCCCTTAACAAGCCATTTTTCTTTGGGCCACTTAAATATGTTATGACCCCAACTTATATATAAGAAATGGGCTTAATTTGCCATTAAAATGTAATTGCCAGAGGCTTCAGTAAGTGTGAGATGTCAAGTGATGTCATTGAAGAATATATGATATGAGCTCCAATAAAACTCTCTGAAATGGCTCTGGGGTCAGGCCTTTCTATCAGCCGTCTGTGGAAATTGTAAATGCTTTTGCCCAGGCTCACGGCTCCACTTTGGCTCCTCCTTCAGATTGTTACCAGCGCCTCGAATTCCTTGGAGATGCGATTTTGGACTACCTCATAACCAAGCACCTTTATGAAGACCCGCGGCAGCATTCCCCAGGGGTCCTGACCGACCTGCGTTCTGCTCTGGTCAACAACACCATCTTCGCGTCACTGGCCGTGAAGTATGACTACCACAAGTACTTCAAAGCCGTGTCCCCTGAGCTCTTCCAGGTCATTGATGTCTTCGTGCAGTTCCAGCTCGAGAAGAACGAAATGCAGGGCATGGATTCCGAGGTCAGTGCTACTGAGAATATGTTCAAATCAGAGTTAGAGCCAACCGTCTGGGGTTCTGGGCAGGCTCAGAGCTCTGACCACACAGCTGTCCAGAGGGCCTGCCAACGGCCAGGGCTGTGGTGCCTGGCACCTGCACGGTCCTGGGGAGAACTGGGGTGAGTGGAGTCTTCAGGGGGCCTTTTAAACTTGGCCGCCCACAGTGCGCAAAGTGTGGTCATTCACGTGGGGAGAGAGAGCCCAGAGCAGTCAGGTATGTGGTACCCTTTCTGGTCCCATTTTGGCTTTCAGAGAAGTTCAGCCCCCCACCCCCACCCCCCCATGGTAGCCTTAACCCACTGAGAGCTCGCAGGATTTATTCCGTCTGCCTTGCTGTTCAAAATGGGTTAGGAATATTTGCTCATGTCTCAGGTAAGCAGCACAAACACGTACTCTACTTCTGCTGGAAATGGGAAAATCTCAGTTAAAAACCAAACTATACATTTTCAACCATTGGAATTTGAGAGGCTTCTACTGTAAGTTCAGCCAAAGGTTCTTGGTGATGGAGCTGATTCTAATGTGTTTGTGAACCTTGGAAAGGGTGTTGCTTCGATGTCTCCAGTGTCCCCCTAGTCGTTCACCACCATCCATCTGCATCCCTGCGCACGCTCTTCCATACCGGTCCCTTTGTTTTTCTTATTTCTGTAGATTTCTTACGGGGGTTGAGGAATTTATTCATAAATTCCTCTAGTAGCCATTGTAATTGTTCTTCCTCTGATTTGTACCTTCCTTTTTACTTCTCAAACCATTGTTGGGGCTTTTGTGCCTTACCTTGGTTTCCTGTGGGAAGCGAAGGGCCTGAGTTCTGAGGAGGAGCTGCAGGCAGGCAGCCTGTGAGGTGCAGGATCTGTGCTGGGGGCGGTTAGTTGGCCGTGTTCCCTCCCTTGCACCTCGCCCAGGGTCAGCAGTCTGAGTGGGAGCGGCCAGCAGTGAGACTAGGAATTAGAACCGTCTCACACACAGCACTGTCTCTGGTTCCATTCTGCACAAATGCTGTAAGCTTGGAATTTGAGGGACTCGCTAAAATTATATTTAAATTCTTTTTTACACGACAGTGGGACCTACTGGCTCTGTGTTCACTCTTTCTCTCCCCTTTGTTTATATAAACATGTATAGAAGTTATAAAAGCTAATTGGAAAGATTATGGTCTGGCTTTTCTAATTTACTCTTTGAACTTAAGAACTCTGCGCACCTTTCTGGGCCTCAATTTCCTCATCTGTAAAAGGAGAGAATTAAACTTCATACATTTTAAAATTTCTACCTCTAAACCATGATATGTGAACCATAACTGTCTTATTTTTTCAGTAGTTGGCGTTATAAATGGTTTATAGAACTTTGTGTCACTAAACAAATCTGTTTAAAAATTACTGTCTCCCTGCTTTTTATTTCTACTTCACAAGTAGTTTATGTTTATTTTAGAAAACACAAATAAGCAAAAAGATAATTAAAGTTACACAAATATACAGCCTGAGAAATAACCCAGATTAACATTTGGGGATATATTATTGCTAACGTGTGTAGAGTAAACATACATATATATGTGTGTGTATATATAAAATGGAGTAATATCATGCATAATATACTACAACCTCTTTTACCACTCACTGTGTTGGGGATGACTTTCCACGTATTGAGTAGCATTATGACTTGCAGTAGCTGCATGCTGGTCAGTACTCGGCTGTCAGGGAACATATTTAGTCATCCTTTGTGGCTGGATATTTAAGCTGCTTTTAGTTAGGACTTTTAATAAACATGGATGTGATAAATATGTGTATATATCCAGTTACCTCCTTAAGATAAATTCCCAGAGATGGAATTGCTTTGTCAAAGAATTCTGAACCCTTCAAGGGCTTTTGATACTGACGTAAAGTTTCTGTTCTGTGCATTTGGATACCTGTTATGTGTCAGATACTCTTTTATAGCGAACACGTATTAAGTGTTTCATAAAAAGGAGCTTGGAGGGAAATATCTTCCACAGAGAATTTCCCTGCCAAGAAAGTGGAGTTTTCCCAGGCAGCGGGCGTCCTCGCCGCTGGCCGGTCAGCCTGCTTTCTCGGTCTCGCCAGGCGCCGGGGCAGCGCCCTTAAAGGTGCAGCTCTTTGATGATGAGTGAATTTGAAAAGTTTTTAATACACATGTATTGACTGTTTCTAATTTTGTGTTAAAGTTCTTTTTGCCCTTATTTAGAAACCTTTTTTCTTTGCTGAGTGTAGAATATTAAATGGGGGGGATTCTTTCTTTCTTCCTGAGAAGTTTGGAAACACGTTTTATTTCCAGAGAAGATAATGGCTGTGCAGAGCCTGTTGCGGAGCCGGAGGCAGGGCAGGGCGGCCGGCGGGAAGGGCAGCGGGCCCGCGGCCTGCTCTTGAGGCCTCGGCGCTTACGTGTCACTTCTCTCGCCCGACAGCTCAGGCGGCCCGAGGAGGATGAAGAGAAGGAGGAGGACATCGAGGTTCCCAAGGCCATGGGGGACATCTTTGAGTCGCTGGCTGGTGCCATTTACATGGACAGCGGGATGTCACTGGAGATGGTCTGGCAGGTGTACTATCCTATGATGCGGCCCCTAATAGGTACTGTTGGCTCCCCTTCGAAAGAAGCAGAACCAAAGTTAGAAACAACTTCAAGGGTATTATTTACACTACTCTCTCATTTCGATTATAGAAAAATTTTCTGCAAATGTGCCCCGTTCCCCTGTGCGAGAATTGCTTGAAATGGAACCAGAAACCGCCAAATTTAGGTAAGCAAAAACGTGCATGGAAAAAATTAACCTCCTCAAAAACAAGAGGAAAAGTTCTCAGTGAACGACTCTGAGAAATATTTACACTGGGGCGCCCTCTCGCGCAGTTTCCACTTTGGCCTGATTGACTCCTCTTTTGTTTTTATAAAGGGCTGCTGAATTAAGGAGAAACGGCAGCCCATCTGCCGCCCTGTGCTCAGGCCACGGCGCGCGTTCCCCTGCAGGGTGAGCCTGCGCGCGGGCTCGCGGCCCAGAGCGCACTCAGCGCTGATTGACAATCATAATAAACACGCCTGACTCCTAACTCTCGCTGTTTGGCCTCTTTACAGCCCGGCTGAGAGAACTTACGATGGCAAGGTCAGAGTCACCGTGGAAGTAGTAGGAAAGGGAAAATTTAAAGGTGTTGGCCGCAGTTACAGGATTGCCAAATCTGCAGCAGCAAGAAGAGCCCTCCGAAGCCTCAAAGCTAACCAACCTCAGGTTCCCAACAGCTGAAACCCCTTTTAAAATTAAATTTTTTAAAAAGCAGAATGAAGGTGGAAAATATTTAAATTGAAAAGGGTGATTTAAGTTGATACTGAGTGGAATGAATTGAAGGCAGAATTTCAAGTTTGGTAACAAGGTAGATTGCAGAATAAAACATTTAACATATGTATAAAAATCTTGGAACTAATTGTAGTTTTAGTTTTTGCGCAGACACAATCTTGTCTCTTTGCTCACTTCTGCTTTGTTTGAATCACAAGAGTGCTTTAATGACGTTTAGCAAGTGTTCAGAATAATTACTGATAGTTTGTATGTTGGTTTTGTTTTTAGTTTAATTTCTGTCACCTTTGCTTAGTGTTAGGAGGCCACGGAGCTGAAACCTCATACAATCCCTAGAGTGATATTAGAGTCCTCGTACCAGCCTCAGTCTGTGCGGTGTTGCCAGTCCCACATCGCTGGGGAGCCCGATAGGATGCTGCAGTTTGCGAGAGGGAGGGAAGTGTGCCGGTGTCGTCTTTGTTTCCACGTTCTGTTGGGTAAGATGGTGTTTCCCGGGCGCTATTGCACTTAACAGTAAGGGACAGATTTTAATGGTCATCGGCTGGCATGCTGGTGAATCCAGTTTTAGTTTTCTCATGCCACGTAGTCTCGCATAACAAAGGTTCTTGCCTTAAAAGTAACGTCCTCTTGGATATTCTTTCATTTCTAATCTCTTTTGGAACAAACTGATTTTACATTCCCTTTATTTTATTGTGCATTAGTTGTTGAGACAGTGTGATATTCACAACTCACTAGTGTAATTGTAACTGAACTTAAAACAGGATATTAGGATTTCTGTCACGTACTGAAGACATTTTAAAAACCAGAATCTGTAGCCAATGGATTTTTTTAAAACACCGTCATAGAAATGATCTTTGGCTAAATATCCAGTTTTACTAAAAAAACTCCTGCTAGGTAGTTCCACTGATAGAAATTGTGGCAAATAATTTTGCCCTGTAGGCTGTTTCTCTAACAAAATAAATGTTAGACATATCACTCCTAAAATATGCTGCAGATTTTCTAATTCATCAGTTACCTGTTGAAAGAAGCAAACCCAGCACCTTGACCGTTACTCTCCTCACGTAAATTCTCACTGTATTTCACGGCGTCGCGTGTCCGCCACCTACCAAAGCTGTGCTGCTCGTGCCGTGGAAGTGTAATGTTTGCGACAAGCTGCCGTGATTGTGACACATCTGTGAGTTAGCTCGTTAATTTAGATCAACTAGCTCCTTATTTCCATCCACGGAAAAGAAAGAAAACATGATTTTAGGCATTTGCCTGAGTCTCTAATTAGGCCCGTAGGCACTTTTCACCTAAATACCTCAGTTCTTCTTTTCTTTTGCATGCGTTTCCCCCTGTTTGGTGCTATGTTTATGTATTATGCTTGAAATTGTAATTTTTTTTGCACTGTACCTATAATACCTCTTAATTTACCTTTATAAAAGCTGTGGGTCAGTCTTGCACTCCCACCAACATACCAGTAGAGGTTTGCTGCAATTTGCCCCATTAATTATGCTTGAAGGTTAAGAGAGCTGAGCAGAGGTGTCTAATATTTCCCAGCACATTGTTCTGAGCTTGATTTCATGCAGCGCTGCGTTTGCGTTTGAATTGCAGCTGAATACTGTACCTCCCGCTCTGTCTGCACCACCGCTCCCAGGGATACGCCTCTGCATGTGTCGCCCAGGAAACTCAGCTCCACTTGCCAGGAGACCTGAGGGGGATGCTGAGCTTCTCCAGCGTCACTCGTCGTCTCCAACCTTAAATTGGGGTGGATCTATTATTAAAAGAGTTTTTGAGCAAATTAATTTGGGTGGGCTCATTTTTAAAATATTGAATTCTGATTTGGAACCTTAGATTTCTATTTGTTTTTAAAAAAAATCCCAACATAGGATCTCCTGGCAAGTTAAAACCAAGAACCTGAATCCTAAAACTGTAAACATGTACAATGAACAAGTAAGCTGGATGTGAATTTTACTTGTGAGGGTGATTTGTGATGAAGTCATATCACAGATCTCCGAATAATTTATAAACTACCTGCTGCCAGGAGCTTAGGGCTTTGCATTGTCTAGTGCACTCATCCCAGTGTTACGGGATTCTCTCACCTCCTGGCACCAACATTGGGTTGTTTCACAGTTACAATTCCCATTGGGAGAAAAATGCCTCAATATATTTTGTAACCTTAAGAAGAGTATTTTTTGTTAATACAAAAAAAGTCCAGACTTGGATATGATTAGGTCATGCATTCTCAGGGGTTCAAATTTCCCGCTACCATTCAAAATGTTTTACCAACAGCAAACTTTAGCTATTTCTTTCTCTTTTTTTTTTTTGCTGTTGAAAATTAACTGATTTTAATTTGTGACTCACACTTTGAAGCGTTCTATGATCCCCTGGTTACCACATCAAAAAATAAAAGCTATGAGTTAGACTATGAAATGGTTATGAATGCTTTGTGCTGCTGATTTTAATGCTGTAAAGTTTCTCCCGTTTAGCTTGTTGAAATGCTTCGAGTCCATTAATTAAGGAAAAAGAATCAGTCTGTGTTGCCCCACTTCCCCGCCATGTGTGTCATCTTTTTGTTCCCATGATTGCGATGTGAGACGAATGTAACAGGGGAAACCTGCTTGTGGGGGTGTCGTGCCAGCACTCCTGGGGACGACTGAGGAGCCTGTCTTGAGACGCAACTGCAGAAACTCCTTGTGATGATTATGTGGAGGTCAGTTGGCTTGAACCTTCGTTGTAAATGTTTTTCATCTCTTTTATGATGTACCTTCAGCAGTCCTAACTATGCTGCGTTTGTAATAGCCCCCCCTTCTGTTCATGTAGCACAGAGAAGCATTGCACTTGGTACCATGCTTTACCTCATTTCAAGGAAAAGATGCTTAACCGAGAGGAAAAATGTGGTTTGGCTGCGCTGCTGTTTTGATTTACCGAATTTGAAAAAGTTAATTCTGATGCCTGCAACATGTCATATATACTTGCACAATTAAATAGATCCTTCTCGTCTGTGGCATTTTTACTGTTTGTGAAAGTATGACAGAGATTTGTTAACCAAACTCTTAATTATGTTTTAAAATGTTTGTTACTTTTTTCTTTTTTTCTTTTACATTATGTGATATGATTAAATGTAGAATGACCTCTAACACTCCTGTAATTATCTTTTAAAATACTAATATTTTTATTTTCTTAATAGTAGCTTTCCCTCAGAGAGATTCAAATGACCTGCCTAAGTCGCAGGAGACTTGAGGCGCTTCGGTTCTGTTGGTTCAGTTCCCAAACGCAGCTGCCGCCCGCAGGGAGCTTCTCGGGCCATTGCCGGGAGCGGACGGCGACTGCGGTCGGAGAGCACAATCCGACTCCAGACCCGCCACATGCGGTCCCGAGGCCCAGGGCCTTAGAACTTTATATCTGCTTCTGTTAGGGTATCTAATTCTTTACACAACATGTAACCCACCAGACTGAGACCTTGATATTTTTATTTAAACTGCGTCTGGAATTACGTTGAGTCCTTCGCCAGTTTGTGTTATCTGCAGACGAGAAACTCATGCCGTGTTTATCACCTATATGGTTATTTCAGTTACATTTAAATAGGTGTATTTTTTCAACCACTGATTACTTTTCAGGAATTTAATTATTTCCAAATAAATTCCTTTATTTTATATTGTACATGAAAAGTTTTTAAGGTATGTTGAAGACCAAGAATATTAAAATGATCTTAAAAGTGGTTGGAGACGCCAGCAGCGATGTCTAGGGGATCTGCATTGAGACTCAGTGTTTTCCACCAGCAGTGAAAATGGTCTTGCGAAACTGACTTGTAAATATATTTTCGTCACTAACTGCTTTTTTTCCTAGTCCGTTTTTATTTGGACATCAACCACAGACAGTTTAAATTTTGTAGCTGCCTTCAGAATTCACTGCGGCAGCAGGTTCCACAGCAAAACTGCGAAAGTGAACAAAAGTAACATTTCTGCTGTAAATAGAATGAAGGAAAATGACTAAAATCAAGTAAAACTAACATGTAATTGATTGACAATAAAGTATTTACCATCACGTGCTGCAGCTGTTTTTAAAGGACATGATGTAACTTGTTCACATGTATCATCTGCAGGTTTGCAGTCTGCACCTTATGGGCCACAATTACCTTTCGTCATTTTTTTGTAATAATTGTAGCTGAGTGAATCTCTAATAAAGTTATGGTCTGTTCACTGTGTGTCCTTTATCTTTTCCTTTTTGCAATTTGATCGGCTCACGTGGGTGGTAATTCAAGTAGTTGCAGCGGAAATGGTCTTTAAAATGTTCTAATTCCAAGTCTTATGAAAATGCATGTTTAATACGATGAGATTCTGTTGACCAAGTTGTGCTTCCAGTCTCCTTGTGGAGTTCTGTAAAAATAATTCTCTCTTCCTTTCATGATTTAAGCCACACCAGCGTGTTTTTCTGAGTTCTGCCACATGACTGATGTGTTCCAGGGCCAGCGTTACTGCTGAGAGATCTGAACTTTCCCTAAGAGAACTTGGTCCTTCTGAAACCGGGTGGACAGAATGCTCAGCTTCCAGGTTCTTAGGACCCACTTCCAAACTATGGGTTGAGAAAGAATTTTATTCCAAGCTTTGACCCAGCCTTCTTGTAACCTCAGTAAACTAAGTGTTAATAGAAATGACCTGGCTGTAGGAACAAGGTGGTGAGTATAAGTTCCTTAGAAGAAAAAGACTTTAGTTTTCCTTTGTAAGAGTTTAATCCCTTCCTTTCCCCTCCCTCCCACTTCTCCAACTGAAGGGGGAAAGTAGATGTGTTTTCATCCTGAAGAACTAGGACATGCCCAGTGGCCACGGAAGGACTCGGCCCGAGGCCAGTGTTGGTGAGAGGCCGCTGGGTCCCCATTCCCCGGGAAACAGGCGTTTTCTTGAACCTCCGCTTTTCCCACCCTCCTTGGCGTTGCGGGTTTTTTTAAGAAAGGAAAGCCCCTCCCTCAGTAAAGCCCCTCCTGTTGTGCTGAAGGTGTCATTGCAACAGGGCTAAGTGAGCAAGTGGAGCTGGGGCTTCGATCCCAAAGTGTGTGTGTGACAGACACAGCCTCGCAGCAGGAGTGGGGCCCCAGTGGCATTTTGTCTTGTAGCGTGAAGGGGATGTTTTCTGCCTTGAAAAGCTTTTTTAAGAACTGACTTTTGATGAGCTGTGTATTAGCCGGAGTGTTCTCCGTTTTTTTTTTTTGTTTTTTTTTTGCTTTGAACGTTGCCTACCATCCCTACTTTGCAGTGGGAAGAGACTTGAGCAACTGCCAGGGATGTTAAACAGATGGGATGCTGCGAAAGGTTCCATGGCTATCTGAGTTGGGGCAATTGTGGGTTAAACAGTTAAAGGGGTTCTTTATTATGCTGAAGGCATTGGGACCCTAAGAGAGGGCGGCATTCCCCAGACTGATTAGACCAAAGACACCCTCACCATAGATCCTGCGGTAGCAGCGTCCTGAGCACCGCTCTGGAGACACACCTGTCAAGGGCATCTGGGCACTTGGCGAACCACGGTGCTGATGGTGCCAGGAACTCAGCCTGGCTACTCTGGCAGCCACTAGGCCCAGGTCACGTGAGAAGTTGACCAGCTGTCCCTGCGGCTGGTGGCCTGGAAAGGAACCCTAAGGTTCTCTCATTACCCGGTCGTTTAGGTTCCTGTTCATGGCTGAGTCTAGGTCCTGGGGTCCTGGCTAAACTTGGCTTGCAACTAGTAGTCATAAAGTAAAACAATTAAAATACGTGTTTTGTGTCAGAATAGGTTTGGCGTGCACGTCCAGGTGTTGGGCCCTGACGGTCCCAGAGCGGGACACAGCTCGTGGAGTTGGCCTCCCTCACGGTGGGCGGGTGGTTCTCCCCGGTAATCACGTCTGCAGCGGTGGGGGGCCTGCCTTTGTGCTGTCAGCTCGCCTGAAACTCCTGGGCCCCTTCCGACACCACCTACACTCCAGTAACCCCTTCCTTGCAGAGGTGCCTGGGCGCCAAGCCCTCAGGACACCTCCTTCCCATACCTAGCCCCACGCTCAGCCTCGGTCACCACCGCCGGCCCAGTCCCTTCTCGGCACATCTCATCCTATTGTCACCCCCTTGCATGTCCATCAGCTGCTGGGACGCCAAGGACTGTGCTAAACACCACTCCGTGTTCCGGGTCCCAAATGCTGGGCTGTCTGCTCTGCTGTGAGCACCCGTGAATGACTTCAGGAGACAGGGAGCTCAGGGTGAGGGGAGGGGGTGGTTCCAGCGGAGGGAGAGGAAAAGCTCTGCTTTTTACCGTAGTCACCAAGGGACCTGGGCCCCTCCTGAATCCTGCGTCACTGTCTCGGGTGAAGGATGGGTTTCCTGGTCAGTCTAACAGCCGCTCCGTGTGGAGTTGAAGACTCGGGAGGGAAATGTCTGGGAGAGCCTGTGCTTTGCCTGAAGGTGGGGTTTGAATGGATGCTGTGTATCTTCTAGCTGATCTTTTCCCTTTCTGCTTTGACTCCTGGGCAGCTCAGAGCCAGATTTCTAGCAGACCTCTAGTTCATCTATTCACCTAAATACTTACTAAGCACCTTCTCAGTACAGTGCTGGGGAAGAGCCGTGAGTAACGTGAAGCCCCCCCTTGGTGCAGGCCGTTGCATCCAAGTGGATCCTGGTGGGGAAGACAGGCCGCAGCCACGTTTACATTGGCGGCTAGTTACCTTCTGGGAACAAGACCCTGTGTTTATATTAGTTTCTCATTTCCTACCTCCCCAGCCTACCCTGATACATCGCCTGTACCTTCATTGCCATAGATCCTTCCTGGCGTGAGATGGGCTGTAAGAAACATCGAGAGTCCTCAGTCCCGAATGCGTTTCTCAAGCAGCTACTAAGTATTTGATAGGAGCGGACCTAGATGAGTGAGGGGCTCTTGGGGAGGCAGCCAGCATTCTAGTCCCAGCTCTGAACTTGGCCGCTAGGTCCCAGTGGGCAGCACATTCAGGGGGCACAGCCACAGCGCACCCACTGTCTGAAGACAGAAGGCGGCCAGCCCGGCTCTTCGCGAAACAGGAGCCATTGTCCTCTGAGTCTTCCCCTTTGGGAGCCCAGGCTCAAAAGTGGGCAGGCACCGTGAGACAGAAGTTGCTTTTATGGGAAAGTGTGTTTGAGCTTTAAGCTCTTCTAAGAGCCGAAAGGGCACTTTGGGTTTTGTTGGGTGGTTAGCTATTTTTGCTTACATTTACCTATTTTGGAATAAAGGGCTGAATCAGTCCTCTTAACGAGCCAGAATTCCAGCTTGAGGTTGTGTTTATAAATAGAGCATCCAGGCTTTCCAGAACAAAAACTCATTCAAACCAGCTTTGTTGACAAAGGGGAGGTACCGTCAACCAGCGGTCTGAGCATTTCTACGCATCTGGGATTCCCACGTGGCAGGCAGGACCCAGGCCCATTCCACTTCAACCCTTCTGTGCCAAGGAGGCCAAAAGGCTCGAGTCCGCTGGGGCCCCGGAGCCCGCCCGGAGGGTCGCCCCGATCTGCCACGCCCTGGCCCCTGTCCCCTCGTCTCTGCGCTGAAGGAGCTGGCTCACGGGATCTGCTGGCAGTTGGTAATACTCAAGGCCGCAGAAATGTTATTTGTGAATGCAGAGGTAATCGATGTGAGTCATGGCTGGCCAAGACTAAATTCCTGGAGGCCAAGGTCATGCTCCTGCCCTTTTGCTCCGCATACGTACGCGCCCATCCACGCACATGCTCCAGCACCCACTGTGGTTGGGCCCCTCTGGGAACTGGTCAGACGGACAAGCCCATCAGGCTCATGGAAGCTGACGATGCGGGGGGCTGGGGGCTGGGGAGACAGATACTAAGTAAATATGATAGCTTTAGGGAACGATACTTGCTCGGAAGGCAGTAAGACACGGAATGTAATCCAGTGACCGGTGCAGTGGGGTGGCCAAGTTTAAATAATGACGGGACACATTTACAGTACCTACGGCTCCCGTCACTCCTGCTGGATTTCATGCGAGTCGGTGCTACTGATGCCCATTTTAGAGATGAGCGAAGATGGCAGGGACTCTGAAGACATCCCTGAAAAGGAACAGAACACAGAGCCTGCATTCAGGGCTTACATTATGGTGGGGACAATTGTGCATATACAACCAAGTAATTTCAGTCTAGCATCCCCTCCAATAAAGGACTGACCAGAGACCCAGTAGAAAAAGGCGGGAGGATTAAGGGGACGTTTCCTGAAGGGTTTTGAGGGATGAGTAGGCGTTCTAGTCTCGCTGTGGTAGCTGGTCCTGGGTGCCGTGGACGTTAGCAGCCTCTTCAATAGGCCACTTTATTCTTGGGATGGTGGGTCCAGGGGGGTCCCTGAGACACAGCTCATGCTATTTGCCCATGTCATAAAGTCCTGCATGTTTGAGGAATTATTTAAGGTAAGCGATCACTATAAATCTTCAAAATTAACTCACACATTTTAACCCAAATTTACAATTTCAGCATGGATGGCAATCCCCCTGCAGACGTCCTGAGCGCAGGCTGCATTGTTCTGCGCTGCAGTTTTAACCCCGTGTTCCCGGGAGCAAATCTCTTTCCTCGCAGAGTCTCGGGTTCCTCACACGTAGCGTGGGGGCTGAGCTAGACCTGCGCATCGGACTGAGAATTGCCACGAAGTCAGAATCTCAGGTGGGCCCGGGCATCTGCATATTTTTAAAAGTCGCCCAGATGACTCTAACATGCAGCCAAGGTGAGGAAGCGAAACGGTCTCGACCCTGCTCTGCTGAAGCTTTGGGCTGGAAGGAGGGGCGTTGTGGGGCTGGGCCTCCCCTCTCCCCGCCGGAGCGCCTCCAGTTTGATCTGATCTGTTTGTCGAGCTGACTTAGAACATTGTGTTGAAAGAAAGGGCTCTACTGTCAAAACCGAACGTTTGAAAGTCACTGGGACAGAAGCCTGTGAGGAGCCCCGACTCCCCATCTGCAGCTCCCTGTGGGGTTCCCCAGGGCCTGGGTCTGGGTACCGTTTCTACACTCTTAAAGGAGCCGCAGCCGCCCTGCAGGGCCTGCTCACCTTTCCTGGGCAGGCGAGCTAATCCCCCGGTGTGGCCGCGAGCGCTGCAGCCAGGGCTCTGGTTACCTCGTTATGAGTTACGGCGCAGTGGCCTGGTGAAGGGTCGGAGGCATTTGAGACCCTTTGGGATCCAATGCGAGATATTACTAAAACGAGACTCCATTTAATAGGTGATAAA